CAAGAGATTCGGCGTAGCTTCCGTAGCTGGTATGGCCACTACTTCGCTCGAAGGCGGACACCGTCCGTAAGACTGCTCTCCAGCTTGAGGTGCTCGGCAAACGACCTAAAGGACGCCCTAGGCAGCGCTGGCTTGACATGCTGCACGCGGACTTAAAGATAGTTGGTGCCCACCCTGATCAGGCATTCGACCGGGATAAATGGCGTAAGAAAATCAGTAGAGCGGACCCCGCTACAGAGCGGGGCAAAGCTAAAGAATAAGAAGAAGAAGATCCCGGTCAGAGATCCAAAATGGGAGCTGGAGAGGGGGGAGTGTCCGTCAGTTACGCGGGAAGTGATCCCTATGTGAGGCTAGCGTTCTCAAAGTACTCTGAATTCGATCGGTTCAAGAGCTCTCTGTACTGTGCTATTGGTAGCTGTCTGGTCGATATGGTGAGCTACGGGAATTTCCTCTCCCTTTCTTATGTGGTGGGTAAGATGGGGTTGACAATCTCTGTGAGGGAGTGGAACATGTGGTCGCTTACTGCACAAGTCGATTTCCATTCTTTCAGGCTTCGAGAAAGTGGACTCGCTGGAACATCGGCCACCCATCAAATGTTGTTCCCAGCCTCGAGTGCAGGAAAAGATACAGTCGCACTCCAAAAATTTCGGGTCTCCTACGTTGTTTATATAACAATGTTATCTTCTGAAAATTTTAACTTGGAAGTGGTCTGAACTAATAACAGAACCGATAGCAGAGAATACGAAGTTCGTAACCAATACAGTTTGACTAGCACTCAATCCGACGTCCATGCGATTTATGATCACATAACGATCCACCTGAAGGTTACGACCCTCTCGCTGCTAATCGTTGAAAACTCCTATTCTATTCAGATTTGGCAGCCGTTCCTTGACAGCAGACAATCCAGCTGTTCTATCACAGCAAGCGCTACAAATGTTATGGACTGCTTCAGCATTCAGCGTTCTTTCCCTCAACCTATTGCAAATGCAGCAATAAAAACTTCCGTGTTCTTGTCAGCCCAATATTATGTCAAAAACTGGGAATTGTGAGGCCTTATTTTCAGAGAGAATTACGCCAGAGCGAACTATATGATCTTTTGTGAATTCAGACAGCTGCAGCTGCTTTCAACAAGCGTCCTCAAAGCGGTCAATTCTGGGAGTTGTCACCCTCCCGAGAAGATTGATACAGATGTTTTCTACGAATGAGGATACAGGGTAGCGCCTTTTCCGTAGCTTGCAAGCCGTAGCACATCATCAAACTTATACACACCATAGCTATTTCACACTGCACTAAAGAACAGAGGAAAAAACAGAGAAGAGAAACAGAAGCTTCACGAATGTTTAACTGCAGTGGGCACTACGAGTCTCAGGACTAAGGTGCTTTCAAATAGATTGAAAGTCGCAGACTGCAAGTAATAGGTTTCAGGGGATCACATCAAGCTAAAACTAAACATAATGAGAGTATTGCGTCGAAACCGGGAAAAACACCTTTGAGGTTGTGAAAGTCGGGTCACTCGCGATGACAACAGAAATGAATGATCAAGTTCGAATTCTAAATTGCTGAGGCTAGGCTCGAAAGCTTTGAAGAAAAGGCGATTGTACTGGTTGAGTGAATCAAAACAAGCGCACACGCCCTCGAAGGATGCTAACTTTCTAACAATTACGAACCACTCTTCCTTCCTGTTGATCTAGATATTCATAGCCGCAATCCATTGAGCTTCAATCGCCTCAGTGCTAAGACCTGTGCGCCAGGATCGTGCTTTGATCACAAAGTCCACAACTTGGTGTTTTTGTGCTCTGTGATCACCAAACGGAGCGTGCATTCCCTACCCCTTTAACCTTGAGTCCCCAGTGCGCCTTCATCCTGACCCATATTGAGATTCCCGTTTTCCCAAATATTCACTCTTGCACTGCTGGCAAGTGAAGGTAGGGATAATTCCTGAGGTTACGTGGTCCCCACTCCTCCCAAATAGAAAGATCACGCAGCAAGGGGTTACGCAGAGTCGGTCATAGAGAACATTCAGGGCAAGCCTTCTCTTCGGGTTAGATCAAACCTAGCACATTCGTATGCAATAAGGATCTCGGAGAGGCTTGTATCGCAACCTTTTCGGAGACCTTTGTTTATAATGCTGTCACATCGGACGACTCCATTATATGATCTTCCTCTCACAGTCTCGTGGAGTTTTTCAACACGTTGACGACGAGCCGTTTTTTTCAGTTGCCCATGGGACGGCACATTTTTCTCCGTATAAACTTAGTAATTTTCTGGATAAATGTATGGCTACGATCAAAGTATTTTCCAAGAAATGCAAAAGGTGAGAATACGAATCACGATTTTCAACGCTACAGGCGCCGGCCCCAAAATACCGTAAATCATCAAATTAGTTGAAAACTTGGCTTCTGGGGTAGTTCGACGCCGTGAACACGAATATCACAATCGCTTGCCACGAAACCGCCTGGCGCCGCTACAAGCGCCGGCGCCAAAATACTGTAAATCACCAGATTAGCTGAAAATTTGTCTCCTGGGGTAGTTTGACGCCGTGAACACGAAATTCTCAATCGCTTGCAATCAACGCAAAGGAAGCATGCCTGATCGGTGCCGGCGCTAGGCGCCGATCAGGCGTGCGTCCTCTGCGTTGACTGCACCGTTCTAGCGAAGAGTAAAGGAGTAGGGCAAAATCTTTCGTCAACGTAGCGCCTATTGCGCGCACCAAGCAGTTTTGGGCCAAGGGGGTGTAATATCGTCTTCAGAAGGTCAAACTACCCCGACAGACAAATTTTCAGCCAAATTTGCTCCCAGAGGAAAACTTGGTAAAAACCGGACTGATTTCGGAAGACTGAAGCAATAAAAGCTAAATTGCGTTGAAAATCGAGATTCGTATTCTCACCTTCTGTATTTCTCGAAACACTTTGACCGTAGCCGTATATTTATCCAAAAAATTACTAAGTGCTAATCTGAAAAATTTTTTTTACAAGTGACTTTTCTGCTTCATGTTCGCTATTCATATCGTTAGGAGAACTGCAATGAGCAGTGAGGTTGTATCCGTTCCTCGTTGAGAAGGAAGGTGGGGTGAGGGGCGGGGGGAGGGTACGGGGGTGCTATATACCCCTCCTACTTCCCACTACGACGGCAAGTTTTTGGGAAGAAACTGGGAATATTTTTGCCTATATACTCGTCCCGCCCCCCCCCCGCTCGATGACAAGTTTTTGGGAAACAAGTGAGAAAGTTTTCGCTTTTCTTTTTGGGGAATTTCGGAGAAAGTGGTAGTAAAATAGAAAAAGTCGGCAAGATAGTAGGTAGATGGGGTGTGGAAGGGGGCTCGCTGCAAATGACGAAATTGAAGAAGGTCGTATTTTCCGAGAACTCTCCCCTGCGGCAGGGCGTGCCCTGCGCCCGATTCTGTGACTCTCCATCAGAGCACGCCATCGTTGTGATCATCACAAGGGGGGGGGGTCGTATTTGCCCGCGATGGATCGGGGGAGAGTCGTAAACGCGGGGACCTTTTTGATGTGAGGGTGCAGCGATACCCAGATGTCGTTCAGCTTCAATGATAAATGATTATCCATGTGATGAGCCCTTGAAGAGACCCACACAAGACAGAAGCAACATACTAGCGCAGAAGTGAGAATGGGCGATGACAGAAACTACGATGGTCGCCCACAATGACGTCATGAATAAATAAAAAGAAAGAAGCATGAAGTCTCCGCCGTTGATCAACCTCTTCGTGGGCACGCACTCTACTTCTATCTAGAATGGTAGTGGCCGTATTAAATGCGATGTGGCCTATACGATGACTTGCGGTGAGATCCGTGTTAAGGGTCAGTGTTTCATCCTCCCAGACGAATCTGGTACCATTTCACAGTCCACGGAGGTAGTAGGCTTAGTTGGCGTGGGCGAGGTCGAGCCGGATTTGCCGGCATATCGCGCGAGTGGTAAGCGCCCCACTTGTCACTACACAACCTCCGCGCCAAATAAATATCGCGCCATGAATTATTAAACAGATGAAAGTACACCTCCGGAACCTTTCTTTCTCGGAGCACAATCTCTCGTGCACCTAGGAAGCAATTTGTAGGAGGTGCACTTCCCAATTAGCTATGCGTGAAAGCGTTGTGCATGGCGCATCGCAGAGGTGATGCCAATTGGCCGCCCAATGAATGTTCTTGACATCCTTGGCAAAAAACATGCGTTTCAAAAGCCACACAAAGTTTTTGAACCAAGCGGCAGGTTTTTATGGCGTCGGCGGTGTTGATTTTTTGGATCGTAAGGCAGTTTGGTCACGGAGATGATCACAAGGGGAGATTTTTCGAATAGCAGGCCTAACAATAAAATGAAGTTGTGCTGGAAAGTGGAAGGCCTCAAGCGTCCGGCCACAGTTCTTTTTTTTTGAAAGGCAGTGTATGAAGCTTGCCATGGATGTCCATAGCGTGGCGACTCGGGGTTGCGGCCCCCATGTTCACAAAGAGGATCACAAGGAGCATCAAAGGGTGAAAACTTTCTAGAAAAGAAATGTTTCAGAAATCGTCAAATCCAGATAACAAGAGCCAACCTAGCTCTACTCATCCCCACTTCCCCCTCTCCGAGAGTTTTACTTTCAACGGGGTTGCGCGCTGCATGTGGGTGACGTGTAATGCAAGAGGGACGCAGCGCATGGGCGATTGGATGCAATTACACTCCTTGCGCGCTTTTTGGCTACCGTATCCTTCACGCTTAATTTTAATGTTTTGCGAGGGTTTGTTGTTGACAGCGCGGCCAAAGAAGCAAAGGAAAACGACGCGAAACAGAGCGTTTGCAATGTACAGGGGGGTCGTATCAAGACCCTTATTCGGAGGGGGATCGTATTTTTCAGGAAATGATCACAACGCAATGGCGTACCCTGCTCTCCATAACCTAATACAGCGAACAATATCTGGCAGGTTGATACCATGCTCATGTCCGCTCTCGAAATTTCGTTAGATGTCACGTTATATTTCAGATCCTGATCTTGAGTGATCGTTCCAGTGTTAGTATTGTTGGCACAAGTGGTATAAAACTTGGTTAACCAACTGAAATGTTTTTCTTTTTTCTTCTATTTCAAGAAAAATCATTGAAACTGAGATTAATGGACTATGTTGTAAAATCTAATAATTGAGTGTTATTGAGGGGGGTCGAAAGCAAAGTGATAGCTCAGCTTCCGTTTCGCACGTGCCCTTAGACGGAAGCCGAGCAAAAGCATATTCCTCCTTCCATGCTCCTCAGTGAGGAAAGGAAGAAAAATCAATTGCAGCAAGTTTATAAGGAATAAAGTTGAAAACGATAAAGACTGAGATGATTAAGAATGCTAATTTATTGGTCAACGTGAGTAGGGCATCGTATAATAATTACGAAAAACAGACTATCACTTGATGTTACATTATAACTATCCGAAATTATTACACGATACATGCAGGTAAAAAAATGGGTTACATAGGCACCAGTTAAACGAAAAAACCACTTAGAATACCTCGGACTAATCTGCTTATGCTACCGCAATCATTCGTAGTAGAGTATTTGCAACATATGAGTTTATTTCTATAAATACTTTCCACTATACTAGCTATAATGAAGTCCTCGCTGTAACCATTGCTATAAAGCATTCTTACGATATCCGATATCCTTCTTATAAACGTATCAAAACAAATACAGGTGTTGGCTATCCTAAGGGTTTCTGTGTAAATAACGGAAGCTTTGTGTTAGTGGAGATATTTGAATCACTGTGTGGGAATCTAATGCTTTAAAGTTAAAGTCATCTGTTTTATTATGTAAACCAGTAGTAATTTGGCCGTTTACTATATTGATTGGTAAGTCCAAACGATTACTGTATAGCTCAGTTGTGTAAGTCTTCTTCAATGAAGGGTATTTCTATAGACCTCGGCGAGTTGTTTATCTACTTCATTCTCAGACTGGTTATGTATGACTAGGAGATCATCCATATAGCTATATGGAATGAGCAATTTACTAGCATTGAATCTATTGCATTTTGCATAATTGTATTCTATGATTGACAACGTAAGATTTGCCAACAGCGGGCTGAAGTTGCCTCTCTGTGGAACACCTTCAGTCTGATTGAATATATTACCAGCAAAAATACAAAACTGTTACGCAATAAGTAATCGATAAGATATATTAAGTCGGTAGCTTTGTAGTATCTGTAGTTGCTTTTATTTGCTCTACCGTCTGAGTAAAAAACATGATAACCATTACTAGCAATGAACGCCTTATTGGCATTTTTGAAGCAGATGCTCATAAGCTGTTGCATATTCCTGGTAATGAAGCTATGTTCTAAGTTTGTATGTCAGTGAAATCGGCAGTATATATTTTAACATTGCCGTAGGCAATATTAGTCAGGTCCTAACTTATACTGATGTTGTCTATCGACCAGTAAGTCTTAATCGTTCTGTTTCGGTTTTGCATCACTTTTGCATAGTTCATGAAATGGTTTTTAAAATGTTTGAAAATAGCATGTAGTTCTTTAGCTAGGGTTTGATGCTACTGCTATGTGCGCCAGTAATATATCTGAGCTTGACCGAATCCTTATGCAGTTTAGGCAGAGCGTATATAGTTGGTAGATCTGAATCAATTTCTATATTGAGGGTTGTTCCTTACACAGAAGAATTTGTGCTTCAGTATCATCGGATATTTGTTACCCGACCTCACAAATTTATACGTTCTGTTACTGTCTCCATATACGAATGTGCCATTAGCTGCGTCATAGCTTATTCTCATTTGTTTCATCACCTTGATTAAGTAGAATTTTTTACATGTAATTCCTTAGTTGTTACTAGCTGTTACTAGCCAGAGGACAAAAAATATAGTTGTCCTGATATTGCTTGATCAAGTCGTAAGGTGCTTGCTCTCCTATATGAATGATATTATTCTTACAAGGGAGGTCGTTCAGGGCGTGGTGCGCTTTTCGAAAACGGTTTTCTGCATACTGTAGGGGCTCATGCAAGGGCCTGAAAAGTGTGCTTCATTTTCGCTGCGCGCTTCCAGGAAAGGTAAAAAACGAGTGAAAAGAAATCTTTGGAATCTGCTTCGCTCTGGGCCTCTATACGGCGAAGCTCACTTGCAACTTTGACCAGTTGCTGAGTGGGGGTCCCTATAAAGGGGCTATTTGAATCGAAGCGAGAAATCGCCGCAAGTGGGCTTCCAACTTGGGTCACGTGCTCAAGGGTGAACGGCTTCTTGCAGTGGTTCCATCAACGATAACAGCGCTAGCACAGTTGAGCTTCGGATGGCCTAGCGGATAGAGTGGAGGTTTCGCAATCGGATAGTGAGGCTGGGGTTGATGGTTCGACTCCCCTTGCGTCGCGACTTTTTGCATTTTTCAGGTTTCGCTGTTCTCGCTTCCATTAGTGTCTGCGCATGAATATAGCTCGGATACTTGCCATTTATGGGCACATTCCGAGTAGCTATACCTCGTGAGTCAGTGCTATTCAACTATTTCGATTTTCACGCACCACTGAACAAGATTGTTGCTGGACGTTGATCCTCATAGGCTATACAGTGGATCTGATTGCGAAAAGTGGTGTCAATTATAGACAATTTGGGGCCACATCTTCTTTCCATGGAATTCGTTATGTACACCAATATAGGGAACGTTCACCGCTATTCTGTCGCCAAATTGCGTGGATGCCAAGAATAGGTGTTAAATTTGTGATCAGGGCCACTGATTACCACTAAACACGAACTTTCGGTCAAAACAATTGTTTTGACCTTCTTGGGTTTGCTTATTGGGTTGTCCGGGGTCCGTAGCGTCAACGATACGCATCGCTGTTACGAAGATTTGAGACTCCGCTCACACTGCCGACCATTTCGTCGGCCACCTACAACCCAAAAAAGTCAAAAAAAAATTTTCGCTCAAAACTTGCTCCTAGGGGTAATCGACAGTCCTGATCACGATTCTAGACTTTATTTTCGGTTACAGTGCCATCTGGCACCGGTATAGCGCCGAAGAGCTGAGTCTGTGCATACGAACGAATTCGAAGGAAAAAGTAGCTTTGCTCCATAAAAGTCGGCTTGTTCAGTTTATCGTGAATGTTTTTGTTAGGACCAATTACTTAGACAAACATGGATCCAAAAAATGAAAAACTGCAGGAAAGCAAAACTTTGTCCTCGGTGGGATCCGAACCATCGACTTTTTTTACGTTTTTTTTATTCCCAGAAGCGCGCAGCGAAAATGAGCCTCACTGTTGAGGTCCTCGTATATGCCCCTACAATATGCACAAGACCATTTTGAAAAAGCTCACCACGCGAACGACCTCACTTGTTAGTGAGAAGCGGTTTGACTTTACTATGGTAACACAAACGTAGATGCTGTTGAAGTAGGTTAACTTTGTGACTGTTAGGTTTATATTTGTACTTAAAATAATTGACAACTTTATTAAGTGTAGCCTCATGAATAATAAATTAATAATAAATAATAAATTCGAGTGCTTCAGTGGTGTTCTTCAACTCTGTTCAAGAATCATGCCTCTGTCGATAATCGTGAAGCATCAGATTGCGAAAACTGCTTTTTGAGTGGCTATTTGTAGCGAACAAGTTTAGACAAATACGATAAGAATACTCACCCAAATAACCTGACATAAACAGTGCAAAAGGGAGGATAGTAAAACTCTCCACTGCTACTGCTGCTCTTACTTAAGTAAGAGTTTAATGTCTGAATGCATCATTTGACACTCAGTCTCTCCTAGCCTTACTGTGTTTCATCACCATATGTTGTTAATCGCGCGTCCTCATCCAAAAATCCTCATACAGTGCTCAACAGAAGCATGTGGACACACCAAATTCTTCAACACAATAAAATACAAGAACGCCTTTGCTTTTGGGAAATGGGACTTCCAGTGTTCGAAACTTTGGGAACGGAAACGTTGGGTACTTTACTTCGCAGCATCTTGTAGGCGACTTCACATTTTTTTACTACTCGACGAAGTTTCTTCGTATCAAAATTATGTGGACACTTAGGAAAAATAAAAAATCTTTGCTATAAAACTCTGGTAGCTCTTATATGATTTTGTACAGGTTGCTCCTTCAATCCGGCATGTTCCTGAATGAGATTTCTCTTTGCTGTCGCGCGTTAAGCGTCGCAAACAGCAAATATTGCCGCCTTGAGGTGATGTACACTGCACTGCCGGCTGTTGTAAAAGACATGCTGAGCCGTGATCTCCTGACGTTTTCAAAATGATAACAGTCAGTGGAACTATTCAGACTCTCTTCTTGCTTAGAATAACGGCAGAACTGCCTGAGTAATCCAGGATAACTTTCGGTGTGTTGATCAGGAAAACGCTTCGAAAGTTTGCTAGCCTTGAGAAATACCGTTCTCGCTCCGGTTAAACGAGTGTGCTTCATAAACCAACGTGAAAAATGCTTCCAGATTAACTGCTCAGGAACAAATGGCAAGATTAGGATCTGTCCTTGGAAATGCTGCAACATCATAACATAAGGTAGAGTCTGGAGAGAAACTGCTAGGTTTTCTTCCAAGTTAAGAATGGCCAACATCTCATGAACATTTTCTAGTTTGACAATCTTCCTGGAGAGAAAAAGTTCAGTATTGTCGTTCGGACGGATTTGGTGAATTTGGAGTGGCCTTAGTAGGTAACTCCTAATTCCACGGAAAGCAACTTTGGATTGGGTGTACATGTGTTTGCTATGGCTTTAGAAAGAGCGGAAAAATGGAGCCTCCTTCTGCGACATGAAGCATAGGTCGGGAATATGAATAAGTGGCCGAGTCTCACATTTCTCTCTTTGAGAAATGGGCGATGCAGGAAACATGTTCTACAGCAGCAGAACGCGGCAGCGATTGTCTCGTTTCCAGCAAAGAAAAGGTTCCTGCTAACAGTATCGATATGAAGGATTAGTCACATAGTTCTATTGACTGTTATCATTATAAATGTCAGGAGATCACAGCTCAGCATGTCTTTCACAACAGCTGGCAGTGCAATGCAATTCATCACGTCAAGGCGGCAACATTTACTGCTGCGATGCTACACAAGAGACAACCATGAGGAACCTCGCAAAGAAATTTGTATTTTTTCTTAAGCGACCACATACTTTTGGTACGAAGAAACTTTTCCAGTAATTAAAAATATGAAGTCGACCACAAGATGCTACAAAGTAATGTACCCTAAGGTTCACGTACCTGCGAGATTGAATAGTGGAGGTTCCATTTCGCCAAAGACAAAAGTGTTCGTGTAGAGTCAAAACTTGGGGTGTACACATACTTTAAAATACGCACTGTATTACAATCGTGGGAGAACAAGGTAAAGAAAGGAAGGGAAAAGGAAATAAGGCCGTTCTTACTCTGTATCACCACCAAACTCTCACCTTGTTACAGCCCTCTTTAGAGCAGAGCCGACGCCATTGTTTACCATTGAATTTTTTTCGAATACCGCCTGGGTTCGTGACGATCTCACCTTTTTTGTAACGCTGCTGGAAAAGGAAAATTTGCTGGCATAATATAATGAAGAATATTATTCATCTACTACAACCACTGTAAACATAACCTAATCCAGTACAAACCATACTAAACGGAAATGCTGTCTCTTATTTACGCTCAGTGGCTGCAAGGTGGTAGGTTGTAGAGTAGGTTGTACTCAAAGAGAAGAAAGATGTTCAGAGGCAATAATGCGCGATTTAGCATACCTGATGGGAGCCAGATGCTAAGCGGTGCGAACGAAGAAAACGAAGAGTACACTCCACATTCCGGAAGTGGCAAGGGCGCGGCAGCGTTTTTAACTTGAACATGGCATAGACCACCTTTTTCAGAAGACATTTTTATCAGGGACAACTGTCATTCTTGTATTGGACACTTTTACAAACGTGTCAAAATGGCATTATTCCACTAGAAGTGCAGCCACCATTGCGTTTGAAGTGGGCATGCGGCCACGGCCTCCTCCTCTTCAGGTAGAGTAAAGGCCAATGGAAATGGCTAAAAAGTTGTGAAGAGACTACTCTGCTCGTGGACGCTGGACGACCTTATCGTTGATGTGAAAGTGTTGGCATGCCAGTGTCAAACGGGTAATGGGTTAATATCGTTTCGACTGCAACGTAGTGTGAAGCAGCATAATTTAGAGCGATCGAAGACGCAAAAAAAACATTACGAAAAACTGTCCTTCGGAAAATAAGGACACATGACAAGGACTGCTAGAATTCGACCGAAGTCAGCGCGGTGAGGGAGATTCAGGCTGCATCCGCCTACAACATTTTCATCCGTACACATCATCATTATTTGCTGGCGCGAGAACCATGAAACCGGCGGAACCCACGCTAACTAACAATATAAAACAATGTTTATACTCACACAAGCACGATTATACTCAGACAAGCACGATATCGACAGGATATGAGAACAATCCGCAGAATGCACTATGGGACATAAAACGATTCCTTCTTTTTCTGCCCGCAATTCTAAATAAGCTGGAAAGGCCTATTGATAGCAAGCAATCAAAACGTCGTGACAGAAAACGTAAAAGGAAACCGAAGAACGCGAAAAACAATCCATTTTGCAATAGACTATTAAAGCTATAAATTAGTATTTGCAATATGTAATTAGAGAAATCTTTTGAAAAAATATAACATAGTCAGAAAGTCATAGCTGCTGATAGGTGTTTGAAACTAGAATAACAGGAAGGTGATCTTCCAAACACAGAATATTCAATACAAGCACTTATGGTTTACATGTTTCACGGTCGCCTAGTCAGGTCGAAATTTCGATTTTCCTGGAAATTATAGCCGAAGATAGGTTGGCTTTCTAAATGTGAAAACATTCGTTCAGCCGCATTCTGCATATAGTCAGGTAGTGAAACTAGCCCTGCATACGAAGTGTTGCAAAATTGGTTGTCTTAAAGTTTGGAGCTGACACCAGGCGTTCTTGTGCCGAACGCATTGATTGACATAGTTGAAGTATTGAAGTCTTTGAGGATTTGGTCAGAGCTTTGCCTCGATCCCGTTGCGCTGTAACGATCGCTTTAGAAATCTTCGTTGTAGACGACAAGAACTGCTGTTTGACATGATTGTTTATCAAGGAAGTCCTTGTATATTGGAAATCATGGTACTCCCGTCAGGGCTAGGCGTGTGGGGCGGAATCCGCAACAAAGGAGTCATCCGTGACCAGCTGAAGGGTTGAGTATGTAGTATGTGCAGGTGCCTACAACGAACGGAGCAGTGGCAACGTTAGTAGAACACTGCTTTCGCTTCTCCTCCTAGCCGACGAGCCGTCTCCGCCCGTGTGCTTCAGTTTCCATGTATTTAGAAGTGGTTTACCGGAGGTGCTCTGAGTTTTCGGATGAGCTGAATGATTGGGAATACTTCTTACTGCAATTTGAGCAAACGTTCTGTGCAAAATAAGTGACGGGGGAATGTTTACTGTAGTGAGGCTACAGCGAGGCATCGTACTTATTGGAAATTGAAAACATTGGGGATAGGAAGTCATCTAGCTCTCAAAATCGTGTAGGTTTGCATACTACAGCATGGCTTCACGAAGCTGAGCACACTAAGGGTTAGACTAGTGTTGGCCTGAAAATTTCCGCGTCACTTTCTGCAATTAATCGCAGGGCAATCACCGTAAGAGCTAGAGCAAAATTATTGTGCATGATAGAAACGGCGGTTTTTCTATTTTTTAGCCGTGCAAGTTTCTGTTTCCGTCTCTCGAAAATTATCAGCCTTATTTTCGGAGTGGAGCCGCCATAGAAGCTTGATAGCGTCTTTAGTGTATCACCTGTATCCTGTGCTCCCGTTGGTCATCGAGTTCCTCGAGCAAGCGCCAGTAACGTCTCGATTCGTCCCTGCAACGTGCAAGAGTTGCCCAGTGAACTCTCTCTGCTCGAGGGACACGATGAACTTCATACCGTTCGTTCAGAGCTTCTACGAAGAATTCTGACCATGCATAGGCGGCCGTCTGGGCGTTCGCTTGACATCCCGTGGAATCCTAGTCAGTGATCGCTCTGGTCCAGCGGTCGTCCTCGAAACGCATGACGTGCCCGGCACACCTAATCTTCAAAAACTTGGCAAATGCGGCGGCGTCTCTGAACTTCGATCGTCGGCGGAGTGCAGAGCTCCCGATTCTCTCTCTCACTTGCGTGTAGGAAAACTCCGAGCGTCGCCTTTTCAATGGCGCGCTGACTAACGTCGACCGAATGCTCATCCTGCTTTCTTAGAGTTCAAGTCTCTGAAGCGTACGTCAAGGCAGGAAGGACCGCGGAATCGAAGAGGTGGGCACGGAGCTTGGTGTTCTTCGTCTTCTTCGCTACTCCCTCGATGTTCTTGAAGGCTCCATAAGCCGCTCGCTTCCTCCTGCTCAGCTCTGGTGCTAAGTCGTTCATCATATTAATTTCACGACCCAGGTACACATCGCTAGAGCACTCAGAGATGGTCGTTCCGTTGAGCGAATGGGGCATCGGAAAACAATACGTTTCTCATGAACGTCGTCTTCGTTAGATTCAGCCGTAGACCGATTTTTCCGACACGCGCAGTTCGAATTCAGCCAGCATTCGTTCCGCTTGCTGGATGTTTGGTGTTATCAAAACGATGTCGTCAGCAAAGCGGAGATGGTGTAGTTGCCGACCATCGATCTTCACTCCCATGTCTTCCCATTCCAGTTGACGCACGACGTCCTCGAGAGAGGCGCTGAAGAGCTTGGGCCGAGATGGCGTCGCACCTCTCTTCACATCGATGATGATCTCCTTGTAGAATGGTGAGATCTTGGTCGTGGAAGTTGCCTGTAGAGCTCATGAAGGATCCTGATGTACGGAGTAGAAATACCCTGGTTGCCAGAGTTCGATAACCGCTTCTGCCTCAACGGAGTCGAAGGCTTTCTTCAAGTCGATGAACGTGAGACATAGCGGCCATCTTGTACTCTCGCGATACTTCAATGAGCTTTGTGACCGTGTGGATGTGATCAATCGTGCTGAATCCTCTCGCGAACCCTGCTTGCTCGCATGGCTGTCCTTTCTCAAAGTGTTCTGCCAGTCCTATTCAGGATGACTCGTGTGAGAGTTTGTAGACTACAGCAGCAGATTGGGCAATAATTGCCCAATGTCGTACAGGTCTCCCTTCTTTGTGCAGCAACACAGTCTTGCTGGTTTTCCACGAGGTGGGCACCTGCATTCCGACAGGTAGCGCGTGAAGAGTCGAGCCAGATTTGTTGACAAGAACTGGCGGGAGTTCTTCAGATGTTCGGGTCTAATTCTTTCGGGACCGTACGATTCTTTACCAACGAGATGGCGTGTCGGACTTCAGAAGCGAGAACCGCAGGAAACGACGTATCCATCCTGCTCCAAGCGATATGGTGACAGATGGACGTGGCTGCTAAGAGATCAGAGTGGAAGTCGTGATGACCTTCTCCATTGCCCTTCTGAATGCGTGTTGAGTGTTCATCCGGACGTCGGAGGGCGGTCATTTTGGTCTTGGAGTTGGCGAAGTCGCGACGGGTTTTGCAGATGCTCTTCCCTGCCTCTGCGGCTTCCACCAATACAGCTGCTCTTCTCTCCTTGAGATCTTCCTTTATGGCTTCTCTGCATAGCTTCGCAAGCTCAGACGTCAGGTGGCAATTGCTTGCGGCTCGTGCGACCCACGTTGGCGAATCAATTCGAGAGTTTCCAGACATAGACGCTTCTTGGTAATCTTGGAACTCTCTGACTTCTTGGCGCAGTCATGAAGGTGTGCGACAAGCCTTCGTATTCCTCGTCGATGTTCGATCTCGAAATCCTCCCAGAACCCAGCGTGGGAAGTGAAGTGATCCCAGTTGATGACGGTCTTAGGGCTTCGCCTCTTGGACTTTGCTCTCTTTCTCCTCGCATCGCAAAGCGGAATCTTGCGCAAAGGAGATGGTGGTCGGATCCCGTGTAGAAGTTAGGAACAACAGCGACATCGGTCAGGCAAAACCTTCGATTGAAGATGAGTGGTCGATCTCATTATGGAATTGTCCACCGGGAGCTTCCCATGTCCAACGTAGAGAGTAGGGCTTCTGGAACTGCGAGTTACCATGGATGGTATGGGTTTACATGATAAACTTGAACAGCACTTCACCCTGCTCATTCCACCTATTCCGCGAGTTCCGATGTGAAGTTCTTCAGTCAATCTTCTTGGTCCGATCTTAGCGTTGAAATCACCGACGATGACCTTGAAGAAAATATGATCTTCCTTAGAACTTCTCCAATTCCATATAAAATGCTTCGAGCTCATCCCGTGAGCGACTTGAATCTCCGTTCGCCCTGTGATTCTTGGAGCCTCGCCCGAGCGGTCCCAGCCGACGTAGCCCTGTCGGTGGTTCCGTCAGGTTAAGGGGAATGAGGCCCATAATTTACTGTTTTCGGCGTGAAGAAATTTGACCACGCGTGGCTCGCCAGGCTCTGACGTGGCACCCTCCCCATTAGTACGCTTTTGGAACAGTCCACCGTCACCTCCACGCCACTTTGAGGTTGCGAGTAGGATTTGTGGGGGGGGGGGCTTTGTCGCTTACCCCATCCAAAGCCCGTATTCGTGGGGACGCTGCAGGGTCAAAAACACGGCGGCAATTTGGAAAGCATCAAACACACATGAAACAATAGAAAACAAAAACACAAATCAGATGAAATTAAATAAAATAAAAATCTAAACTCTGAACGGCATAGTCTGGTTGATCTGTTCCAGCTATGTCAGCATTTCACTGATCATTACTTTCAGATTTTTTGAGGAGGATTTGTGCTTCCTAGGAAGCTTCTACCTGACACGTAGCAAACTAGATGCAAACAGTGTACACGGTTCCGATCGGGCTAAAGGATCCTTGAGCACGTGAGTTATGAACCTTTCTGAGGCAATAAAGCCGAATCGTAGGAGAATTTCCTTTCTCTGATTGCCACGAAACCGTTTGCAAAAGTTCGTATTCAAAGAAAAACGCCTCTAGGAGCTTTTTTAACAATGAAACTTAAAAAACCCGTTTGGGTGTACTTCCCCTTAAAAGCACACCTATAAAAGTCACCCACAGAAAGACTTCCTTCACGTATAACTCCTAAAGAGGTGAACTGTTGGAAAGTACGAGATCCCAGTTTTCAGTTTGAAATCCTGTCACAGTTCCACTTAAGGCACGCCCCGCGACTGCACGTCATAGGTAGCAGAGTTTGAAAGCAGGAGTGCATTGTGCCAGTTGCCTTAGTAGTGAAGAAAAAAAGTATGAAAACCGTCCTCAATATGACTCTCCTGCTTGCACTTTATCATGGTCATAGGATGAGAGCAGGATGGTCAAGATCAACAGTGATATGCAGAAGGTGACGATACACTGCAAAGCGCGGAGAGAGACTACGAAATGACGGGTGAGAGCACAACGGCATTAGTATGGCGGCACTGATAAGAGTAGGCCGGCATAGGCTTCTTTGGGCCTAAAATCGAAGTTTACTGTGCTTGGCATGCCATTTTGCAAGTTTTGAATGCAGTGCAACTTCTACAATCGCCTACCGGATCATCTGACACATTTAAGACGTAACAGCCTTAGTTTATTGCGGAAAGTGCCTTTAACCTGGAGGATAATATAGCATATTGATTTTTCGCACTTTTGTGGGCTATATACATTACTACTTCATGAGCTCCGCTTTTACCCTTCATTCCGCACACACGTTGTCGCAACTCTCTTGACTTCTGAATCCTACATTTTGACCCACTCCCCCAGACATTTCCAGCTAGCCAATACCCCTCATAGGTTGTCGCGGATGCTTGGCCCTGGTGTCGTTGTCGCACTGCCTGCATTGCTCGTCCTGATTAAAGGAGATTATGTTCTGATGTGGTTTGATAATTGTGGAACTACCTGTGCTGGTGTGCTCTATAGCGTAATCCCAAGCTGAGCATTTTTGGGCGAAGTACGCTTGAATTCTCTCAAATCCCCTTATCTCGAAAACATTCCCGACAGAGATTAGGAGCCGCTATGTTTGCATGTTTTATATGCACAGAATTCTTCATATGTGACCTTGTGCAACATGAACTAAACGTTTGCGAGAAAAAGAATTCCGCTTCCCAACATCCCTTGTTTCTTTGAGGGACTTCTAGCCTATGATATTATTTTTAGTGAGGGGCTCAATGCCGAAGAATTCGTAAAATTCTGAAAGCCGCTTCGTCTTTTTTGTCTCCTCTATGCATCCCAATCAGTATTGAGGCCTCCGGACGCTTCCCAATTTCTCGAATGCACCTACCGTCAAACGAGCAACTTGATGAATAATGGCAATGACCGATATGCACTCACTTACTAGAGATCGTCGCCAAGTCGAAGTGGCCATTTGTAATGAGACATAGCATCGCAGGCATCGTATGGTGGTGAAGTCTCAGAGGTGGAAGAAAGTCCGGGGTTCGAGGGGGACGTTTCTTGCATTTTGTAGGAATGTCTGGAAAACACTTCCAAGAGTTAATATGATCGCACTTCACAAACCCAGTCGGTGACCTAGGTAATCTCATAAAATTGGGCACCTGCGTCCTACAAGAAATCCCGGCCCATTCTGTTATCGACTGCTTATATTCGGACGGAATTTGCTCTTAGATAACAGCAAACTGGAGCACTAATAGGATGAATGCATAAGAAATTAAAAGATGAACCTTTGTACAGGTGAATGTGTCTGTAGTTGAATAGGTGGGAACATGAAGTGAACTGCACCTAGATGCTTCACTTTTCAGAATCAGGCAGATTTGACTAGAAATCTGTACTTACGCGCAGTCTGACCCGTTAAATACGAATATGACACTCGCTTAACGCGAAAACGCCTGTATCATGCGTCCTGGGCACCTATGCATCCAAATCTTCTTCTAGATCACAAGGAGCCCAAGCAAAGTGATAACTGCACGCAAACTCCTTTTCAAGCAAGCTGATGTGGGAAATGATGTAATAGTGACGCTAAAACCGCATTTTGTCATGTCCCTTCAAGATGCGAAAAGAAAAGCTCAGCAGGGATCCAAGCCCATGACCTGTTGCTCAGTAGACGCGGAGGAAAGACTCCATAACTCCGTTCAGAGAATAGTTTTGCGAATTTCAAGTGTAGATTTGAGATTGGCGTCCAAAACCGCGCTTCATGAGCTATGTCTCATTACGAATGGCCACGTCGAGCTGGCGACCTCCCATAGTTACATTAAAACGTGCTTTATGTGATGTAATAAATTACGGACAATGAAGGGCAAGCGACAACAAAGAGTCTGAAAGAAGAATGATGAGGACGCAGATGAATATGACTGAATTGGACATCACAGCAGATGTCACGGACGAGAAAAATTGGGGACGTGTGGCGAAAACAGCGGACCCTGCGAAAATATGAAATTACCACCAACGACAAGAGGAAGAGCCTCTGTGGCAACTTTCAATTGAGCCAGACAACTACACTGGCGGGTCGGAATGCATTATTGTAGAAAAAAATCGAATAAAATACTCCACAATGAAGGCGGAGGCGCACTTACCTGCTGTGAAGTGTTCTGATCGTCATCGGAGTCTACGCTGCTGACGATCAATGGTTTTTTCGAAAGTGCAAGTTGCTCACTGAAACCAAGTAGATGAAGTAAGTAATTTATTGGATGAGCTGTGTTTTCCAAACTTTTGTTGGAATTTTGTTTCCATTTCCGGTTAGTTCACTAAGAAAGTCAAGGGTCTACCAGTCACGAAGCTAGGACTAGAAACGATTCATTTATGCACTGCATGATTCACAATGAACGCCGTCTTTACTGCGACTCCTGTTGAAGTCTTTTACTTTTCAGGGTGCACCCGTTACCGTCGGTGACAGTGTTAAGAAACGGCACGGTTGTCGTTTGCCCGTTAGTCGAAATTTTGAACTTCTTTGACCACTGTCTATAAACTATGTTGTTGTTCAGTGCCTCGATCACTTGTTAACATCAGGATCACAGAGCTCCAATCTGACGCCACAACCTTCTGGAGCTTGTCAAAGATATTGAAAAACTTAAGAGAGTGCAGAAAACGTTCACGAGAGTTCTGTTTATAAGGCTTCCCCAAGTGCAAGCTACCCTAGAACCCTTCCTCCCTATAGGGCGAGGCTTCATAAACTCAGTTCGAAGAGTCTTCTCCATAGAAGAGTATCAGCAAATCTTCTTCAAATCAGTCTTCGCTTTTGATACTTTCAAAGGCGAAACGTCTTGATTCTGGAGTTCAGGATTTTCCTCCCTTTCAGTGGTCGGCAAGCATGTTTTTTGGCGTTTGCATGCGAAATGGGAAAGTTCCACAGGCAGCTGACAACAGAATGGTTTCAACTTCTCATGGAACTTTGAAGTGAGACCTAGGTACATCGGTAGAGTCTCGAATGCTGATTACGAATATGCAGATTAAAAGTGCTATGGGGACCCTCAGGCGAGGTCGGGCGGCCAAAGTTTGCTGAAATTCAAATTTTTAGGTGGCGTGATCGATTGCTGGTCGGTGCCACCGTGGCCTAGTGGTAAGTGTCTCGGAAGGACACTTCTCCTAAGGTTTGCTCCCCGTCGACGCGGAAATTTTCGCTCCCTCTGTAATAACAGCTTTTACACTAATTTTTGAAATTTCTACGAATTAACGACCCAGCAGAGATCAAATACACTGTATCCCGCTCACGACGATTACAACCTCTCCGACAATTCGAAGTTTCAACCAAAATTTTAATTTGCCCAAAAACTGTTGCTGGGAGTAATTTGACCCCTATGTGCGAATATCACGTCCTTTCAACGAAGAAAAAATTGCCACATTATATTAGGTTGTTGCATAAGTTCTTTCCCCGACTTTTTTGTAAATATCTCAATAGCGAACCAGCCTGAAGATTAGAGGTATGCACCATCACCATCCACTACTCGACGCCAACGCTCAGGCAGCTTGTCGATTCCATCGTCCCAGAAGGACGAGGGCTGGGACCCGAAGAAGGCCACAATGCCGCACAATCACCACTGTGACATGGTTTTGCACTGGGAACTTGTGCGGCATTGTGGCCTGCAAATGCAGGGTGGGTGAGTGATAGCTAGTGTGGTGAAAGAGCATCATGTACAGGGGGGCCAAAAATGAGTTACCTTTCTTTATTGACTTTCGAGGCGCTATAAGTTACACTTCATTTAATTCTGATCGGACATTTTCAATACCATATTAAAGAGGATATTAAACACTATCATGACACTCCGCCACAGCCTTCTGGATTAGCGCCATCGAAAGTTTCTGGCACGCGACCGCGATGTGGTGCCTGAGATCAGCGAGATAGTTGATTTCTCCGCCACCGTAGAACGCCCTATTGAACTCCGCCCGAAACGGGTAATTGAGGGGATTCAGGTCAGGTGACCTACTTGGATATTCCACCTTCTTTAGGTATTCAGCCCCCTTCCATTCCAAGTAGGCGAGAGTTGCCCAATGTAACCGCCAGCGCTCACCTCCAGTCCGGGGTCCACGAAAAAAATATTGGTCTTTCCATCCCAGGTACGTCCGGTCCATACCGTCAACCCGCGGCTTGGCGACTGCTGTCAAGACGATGTCCTAGACCGTGGCGACGTTGTCGGAGCTGCTCGATGTTGGAGGTCATCCAGATCGAGAGTACTAGTCTCCAGGCAGCTATCCATGGGTGACTCTACACTAGAAGTTTCGCATCTGCTTGGAGGTGACATGAATTCCGAAGGTCTTCTCCGGTCAGGCTACGACTGGAGATGACTTCATATTTTGGTGTACATGAAGGTGATGGGCGAGAGCCAGCTCCAGCTTATAGAGGAACATCTTGGGTATCTTTCGCGCTGGTACTTGTATCCACGTCCTCTGTGTGGGCAGCGAAAACTTTGCTGATATGTGACTCGGTCAAAGTGACTTTTTTGACCCCCCTGTACACGTCACGCATATGTGATGACGAAAGACCAACCTCCATGCAAACGAAATACGGAATGATCAAACAGGGGAGAAAAACTTATGCAACAACCTAATAGGTGCTGACGACAAAAACGTGAAAAGTTTCTGGTTCAAGGCTAACTTTTTGAAGCTCAACGGGTGCATTGGCCGCAGCCCGGAAGGTAAAATGCCCCTGGCAGCAGTACTTCAGTGGATTCAGTGTTTTATGGCGAATTGGCTCCGAATTAAGAGTTGTCAGAGAGGTTGTAAGCGTCGCAAGAGTTAGAGTTAGTGACCTATTCTACATTTAATCTCCCGAGTCAGATATTTGATCTACTCACTCCGCTGGGCCGTTAATTCGTAGAAATTTTAAAAATTAGTGTGAAAGCTGTTATTGGAGTGGAAGCAAAAATTTCCGCACCGACGGCAAGAAAACCCCAGCTGGAGTGTCCTTCAAGCGACACACTTACTTCTACGCCATGGCGGCACTGGCCTGGTCAATCAGCGCCACTTATGAGCCAAAATTGAATTTCGCAAACTTTGACAGCCCAGAAGTCTTTTAGGAGGTCCCCGTAGCACTTTCACGTGTTTTTCTACATATTTGTAATCAGTATTCGAGGCCCTATCGACGTACCTAGGTCTCAATTCAAAGTTCCATGGGAATTTGGAACCATTCCCTTGTGACACATAACAGCTGTATCTTGCGGACAACTCTTTAGCTATCTGACCTGCCTCCTTCTTTCTCTTATAAAGACTTCACTCATTATAAAAGGGAACACAATGAGATTCATGTATTGGAAGCCCTGGGTTGAAAGCTGTGTAATAGATGCTTTCACCTTTTGAGTATTTGCAGGAGTACTCGTTTTCAGTCCCTCTGGTTAAGAGTGGCATCATAGGAAAGAAGTTCAAGTCAGTGCAATGAGGGATACCCACCTTTCAGAGAAGCGTTCGAATTTTGCGGAAGGGTCACAGCACCCCACACATGGGTTGCTAAGGTTTTGGTAGAAAAAGATCGCCAGTGTACGCCCGCGCTCTTGTCTATTTTGCCGGTTCCACGTGGGTAGCCGGCATCTCCGTGTCTCGAAATGCCGGCAAAATCCTGTGACACCGATTGTGGAGTAAGGACACCAAGGCCGGCTGATGCAGGCGCTAGAGTGTGCGCTTCTTACAACAGCCTTCCTACCTCGCTTTTCGGAATACCTACCTCGAATCGTGCTTTTCATGTCAAAGGCGATCCTAGTATGGCAGATTTTTGTGTTTTTCCCTTCCTTTTGAGTTTCACATGCCACTCTTCGAACCAAGAAATTCCATAAGCCGTTGAAGCCCTCCTGGGTCTCCACAACTTCCCACGGCTCTTTCATCAGTCCTCCTACCTTGATTTGCTCGGCATTACTATATCAGTTTTAGTTAAGCTACTATATCAGTTTTAGTTAAGCTAGGTTGTTCCTTCCCGTGTTTCCCTTTTCGTGTTTGTTTTGTTCACCATCCTTGTTTTTTTTTCCTTGGGTTTTTTCTGTTCTATCTGTCCTGGCTCATCGAGTACTTGTAGTAATCATTCGCACGCGACCCTTATGTTTTCCTTGCGCGGTCATCGGAAGCATCAATAAATAAAATACTAAATAATAAATAAATAATGGAATAAATAATGATGAACAAATAAATAAATAAACAAATAACAAACAAAACAAAAAAATTAACAAAATGTATAAGGTGGGGCCTACACCCTCAGAGGAATCTGCGATAGTATAGATGTTAATAATAGAAGGTTATAAAGTCTGGAAAGAAATGGTAAGCAGCAAATCGCAGTTCAGCGTCTTTTCGCGCAAGCGTGCGGTCGCCACAACGCCTCGTCACCGCGGCACGTGATCCACAACTGATATTTTGTATCAGGAACCTTTTAGCACGTTGACTACAGTGTGAACGACTGGCCACGTTGGACAATAAGAGCCACTCGTGTCTCAAAACATTCCGCACCGTTTGTCGTGTTGGTGCCAATAGTTTCTATTGATCTCTTTTTGTTTTTATCACTGGTCGGAGCTGAATTTCTAACAGAGATAAGCAAAAAAATGATTTCGCTTCCATGGAATATTTCCGTTTGAAAACTGGAATTCTCAACTAACTACAGCTATTCCAGGAAACTTATTAGGGTGTCCACAAAATTCGTTGGCCATTCGTTTTTTTCAGAGCTGGTAAAGATATCTCACCAAGTTGAACTTACCGGTCCATGACATAATCTCCATGCATACCCACTACCTTTCGCCAACTCGGGTAGAGAGGCAACTCCATCCTCCCAAAAGCTGGCCGGCCGCGACTCGGCCCAGTCCTCGATCACGTCCTCGAGGTCGCGCTCGTTCTTCAGCTGTTTTCCGTCCAAGAAATTTTGCATGGACCGGAAGATGTGGTAATCGCATGGACTAATGTCCGGGCTATACGGTGGATGCGTGATCGTCGTTGATGCCCAACCTGTCCAGGACGGCCTGAGTAACTCTCGCTTTGTGGGGCGCCGCGTTGTCTTGGAGGCAACCACGGATTTGCAAGTTTCTGGGACAAGGCGGCGGCTTTCACCTTGACTCCTGCAATTCCTTAAGAGGGTCTCTGCCGTCACTGTGGCATTGTTGGGTAGGATGCTGTATGTGGACGACGCTGTGGCGAAGAGAACCAGAAACCTCGGCATATCTTCGATGCCATGTTTTCATTGGTGAGGCGAGTCCACCATTTTGACATCCAGTTCTTAGAAGGGGTGTTATTACCATAAACTGCTGACGCATCCTGGTCGTGGCCTC